TGTGCTTCGCACCACAACGGCACGCACGTTTTCGACATCTCAACTTCCAAAAGTGCTCCGAGAATGGCGTGCTTTGTACATTTTGACTTCAAAATGTGCTTTGCGCCACAACACCGTGCACTTTTTCAATAGCTGAACTTCCAAAAGTAGTCTGAGACCCTCATTTTTTACACTTTTGACTTGGAAATGTGCTTCGCGCCACAACGGCGTGCACTTTTTCGACATCGCAACTTCCAAGAGTGGTCTGAACCTAGTGTGCTTTGCACATTTTGACTTGGAAATGTGCTTCGCGCCACAACGGCGTGCAATTTTTCATCTCTCATCTGGCCAGCTGGCTCCGCACCCGCCGCTTTACCGAGCCTACTTTTCGATCCTCTGGAGCCCCAAATCATTGGAAAAACACAGTGTTTCGCGACTTTCCTACCTTTTCACGCATCTGCATCTTCTTTCTTCTTACTCGTCTTTCTTCTAATCTTTCTCTTCTCTCTCCCTCTTCCCTGCTCTGCTTTTCATCTGCCCATATTGTCGGAAGTTTGACTTCTAAACTTCCTTCGATCGTATTAGATCATATATAGTTTCTATATTTAAAGTATTATGCAGTCATAGTGTAATTATATTCATATCATATTAATACATATTAATACCATATATTAATCACATATTAAGATGGATTAATCATAATAATGTTGGATGGACAATAGTAAAGCGCGTGCAATAGCTACAAATAATTTTCAGAATCTGATTTTTCAGCCCCTATTGATTTTAAATTAGGCCTTATTGATTTTAAACTACAGACATCAATCTTGGCCCAGAGCATCTGCAATAGTTGTGCTGCATTTGCAATAGCTACAAATAATTTTAAGAAAATTCCCAAATTATCAGATTTTCCAATACTAAATTGTAAAAGCGCTAATTGAGACTTAGTATGGATGCAGGAAAAAAGCTCAGAACCAGTAATTCATGACCTGCCATGAGCAGATGCACTGTTTCTTGTAGACCCCAGAGGTGTCAGCATGGGATGTGTCTCAGAAACAAAAACAAAAACAAAGCAAACCTTTACCAAATCCAAAACTTTACCTTTGTTCAAAAAATGTTTTCTTTATTAAAATCCTTTTAAACAAGTTCAAAAAATAGGTCCACAAAGGGTACCCCCTTGCAGGTCCTTGCATTTGCAATTAAAAATTGCAATTAGCACTTGCAATAATAAACAACCTTTCTGGCTCTAGCTGTATTTTTTCCCGTCTTCCTTAGTTTTTTTAATTGTTGTTGAATGGTTTTTTATTGTGATTGCATGCTTTTCAAAAGCAAAAACAAAGCAAACCTTTACCAAATCCAAAACTTTACCTTGTTCAGCCAATGAGAATCCCATCAAAGCCTGTCAGAAAACAGAGGTTCTCAATCAGAATCCAATGAGAATCCCATCAGAGCCTATCAGAAAAGAGAGGATTTGTTGAAACCTTACAGAAGCCTTGGGGAAGAGTTGGGATTTTCGATTGCAGACCCCCCCTAAAAACAAAAATTACTCTACTTCGTGTGATCCCCACCATGACATGTCAGGACGTATATTTGGACATATATTTAGTATATTCTGACATCCTATCTGACATATATTCTGGCATATATTCTGGCATTCTGGCATCTGGCATATATCCTGACATTCCACCTGGCATTCTATCTGGCAGTCTATCTGGCATTCTATCTGACATATTTTCTGACATTTCATCTGACATATATTCTGGCATTCTACCTGTCATTTATTCTGACATATATTCTGGCATTCTATCGGGCATTATATCTGACATATATTTTGGCATTCTATCTGACATATATTCTGGCATATATGTTGGCATTCTATCTGGCATTATATCTGACATATATTCTGACATTCTATCTGACATTCTATCTGGCAGTCTATCTGGCATTCTATCTGGCATTCTTTCTGGCATTCTTTCTGGCATTCTATCTGGCATTCTATCTGGCATCCTATCTGACATTCTATCTGGCATTCTATCTGGCATTCTTTCTGGCATTCTTTCTGGCATTCTATCTGGCATTCTATCTGGCATCCTATCTGACATTCTATCTGGCATTCTATCTGGCAGACATTCTATCTGACATCTCCTATCTGATGAGGTCCGGCAGGGAACACTTGGGCGCAGGAGGTCCGGCAGGGAACACTGGGCGCGGTTGAGGTCCGGCAGGGAACACTGGGCGTGGATGGTCGTGGTTGAGGTCCGGCAGGGAACACTGGGCGTGGATGGTCGTGGTTGAGGTCCGGCAGGGAACACTGGGCGTGGATGGTCGTGGTTGAGGTCCGACAGCGAACACTGTGGATCGCGAGTCGCAGTTGAGCAGGAGGACGAGGAGGACAACGAGAGGAGGAGGAGGAGGAGAGGGAGGAGGACCGGCAGGCAAGGAGGAGGAGGAGGACCAGGCAACTTAGATAAAATCTAACAACCCTCACCTGGCAGGTGGGGAAATATATATATATATATATAATTTGGGGGGGAACCCCTTTTCTATTGTCGATTTAACATTATATATATATAGTATATTAAATCATACCATCCTACTTTCATCATGCGCCCAGGCGCTCGTGTCTTGCCGCACCTGCCGCGCCGCCTTCTGCTTCGCCATCATCTCTGGATCCACCGCGACGCTCGAGGCGAGCGTCACGGCACCGTGCTCTCCAAGCGGCGGCACGGGGCGCTGTACCCTGGGTCCATGGGAAGCTGGAAAAACTCACCATGTGTCAGAAACTGATAGGATTTATCCCATGGAACTTTAAGATATATGGGAACTTTAAGATTTAACCAATGGTCCATGTCAGATTTATGGGAACTTTAAGTGACTTTGAGTGCCTCTATTGGTCAGAAGAGGGTGAATTTTGGTGACAAACCGGCGCATGTTCACAACGCCATGCAAATTGAGTACTTTCTGGCTTTCTTGTTGGCAAAAGCGCTGATTTTGATGGAACAAAATATCTGGTTGGAACATCCGAAGAAAAAACGTAATATGCTCAACCAGTATATACTACCTGACATGAGTATACCACACTATACCTTAAACCAGTTTGGGCCGATGTTTTGGGATAGAGATTCCAGACACAAACGACCACTGGTCACCGCCAAGATGCTGGGAAGCTGGTTCCTGTGACAGCGATCTCCTCATAGCATCCAAGAGAAGCTGGTTCCAATGGCAAATAATATATGTTTGCAAAACAAATGCAATCATAATTAATAATGCTGAAGGAGATAAAATATTGGATGTTCAAACATATTCCATTTGAGTGAGATTTGTTTGCACTGTCTATATTCCTAAATACTCCGGGATGACTATGTATCGCTATGTATCCATATATTGGGATATATTGGGATATAGCGGGTAAAACTTTGCAAATACACTATAGATGGATCGACAGCAATGATCTAAAATGAACGCATTGCAGTTAAGCAAGTATTGACTGGGACGCAAGACGTCTCAAATGAAGGATCTGTGCGATCCAGGAAGGGCAGAAGCACTTTGAAGATCCATTGAAAAGGACCAAGCTCGCGAGCTGGTCCACTCCAACAACGAGAATAGTGCAATCTTTTACTCCACCAATCAACACGCGTTGCTCAAAGAGAGAGAAATTGTATTTAAAGATTGCTGCAAACAATAAACATCGGATAGTCTGATATCTTGGGCTCCAGTGGGCATGGGCGAAATCATGAATCAACTCACGCAAGACCCAGGCCATTTAAAAGAAGTGGAACTGCACTGTTGCGAGATGACCTTTCCGCTGGAAATGAATATATACTATATATATATGAGGAATCTCGAAAACCCTAGGTTCACGGAAAGGACATCCACAAATTTGGGAAGGTCCCATCGCTTACCACACGTTTGTACAATAATGATGTATGGTAAACTTGGGGGGTATCGCTTGCAGGAAACTGCTACATTTTTTTGTATAATTCACAGAAATCAACGTCCAATTTGGGTATCGCTAATGTGGATATTAGAGAAATACAATGACATAACCTTGAAAAGGGGTATCGCTAATTTGGGAAGGTCCCATCGCTTACCGTGGGGTTTTATTAATTTCCATCAATTTCCATAAACCAACGTTTTTCCAATACATATTTAGTATTGCCGGGGTTTTTGCGGTGGCGTCTATATATATATATATGTATATATACGTATATATATATATATATGTATGTTATAGATGCTGGGCTTTAGCAAGTTAGAGTTGTACTCCAAACGCTAGTCGCAAAGAGCAGCATCAGAATGGTCTACGGGGAAATTTGTCAACCAAATATTGGCCTTATTTTGTCTTCCGTTATCATGACCAACCTTAGATACCTTGCATTTGTTTTTAGCTGGTTGGCGGTTGGAAAGAATATCTAGCTATCTCGATATCAAACTGTCAAACAACAAAATAAGTAGTGCTTAAGTGTGCAGTCAGGTTTACTCAATATATTCCAAACGGGAAATATCTTCAGCAAACATCCTTACAACAAAAATGATGTCCGCGCCATAATTAATAGGTTTTATTTATTTTTATTTTATATGCACCATTCTTATTAAATCTTATTGGTAAAGTGACGATCACTTGGACGATCACACGACTTAGCAGCTGATCAACCAGTTCGTAATCCACACAAAAAAGTGGAACACTAAGCGGGGTTCTCTGATGCGCACTTTACTTTGGGATTCTCCGGTGCGCACTTTGGTGTGCTATCACAGCTATCAGAATGGGCTGCCTTACTAGCATTTTGCGTAGACCACTAGCTATTGGGCAAAATCAATACAGACCTAAGAAAAGTTTGAACAGGAGGCCACTAACATAGCTATCATTTGACAGCACTCAAGGTCTCCAACATAGACAGAAGCCCACTAACATAGCTATCATTTTGTTCGCCATTGCACGTATAATATGGATCTAGCAAAAAAGGACACTGCTAACACAGCTATCCATGTTTTTCGTCCAGCTGACGATTTTACGGCATAGCTAACGTGGAAAAGACGTGCCCAAAAAAACGCAAAGAACTGCTACGTTTTGTTTACCAGGGTGTATCACTGATCTCTTAAGCATCCTTAAGCTATCTTAAGCCATTTATTGCTCCTGTGGACATGGTTTAAATGGTCACTAATCCCTTAAGTATCCTTACCTACCATCCTTAAGCTCATGTGATTTGTTCCAAACCATCAACCAAATATATACTGTATATTTATGTATATCCCATTCATTACATCCCAAAAAAACATCCCAAGGCACCAACGTAAGTTGTGGCCTCCTGCACCAAGGCGCCAGCGTCCGGTGGACTCGCGCAGGTATTGTCCCTCCGGACCACCGTGGAGCTCGGGCACGCGACTGGCTCCGATCGCCTCCTGGCCGGGAAGGACATGGGGATAACATGGGAGAACTGATCTGAGCTCTGGCAGCTCTGAACATGGAAAACATCTGGAAAAAACAGGGCCCTGTACAATTATGATAATTGTGGCAGGGATAGCAAACATGATCGAACAATTTGTCAATAGGGCATCCCGCGGCTTTTAGCATGCAAGATGAACAATCGTGGAACCATCGTTCTGAACATCTAAACAATTCCCCATTCCACTGCATTCCACCCTAAGAATTTCAAGCCACGAACCAATCGTCGATTTGAAGCGCAGAAACACATGCTTTCTTGTTGAAGTGAACGTATGTGAACGTCATTTAAATATCAACAGGATATCACTTGGATCCAGGGTAGTACTGCGCACTTCTGGAGTAAATCTGGCATAGTCACCGCTAAGCTATATATAACAAATGGTCCTGGACCGCATGATCACGAGCCTCTGCAACTTTCTCCATGGCACGGGAAGAGAAGAGCTTGGGCCGAAGCTGCAAGTCATTGTGAAATGTTGACATGATCAACGTTAAGATGGGCGCGACACATTCCAAGTTCCAAGCCGAATGACAGAAAAAATGTTCCAAAGCCAGGAACTTTCCGACTGAGGCAGGAGAAAAAAAATTGCTGTACCCATCTCGCCAGCATGTAATTGATTTTGATTGACCGTTCGAGGATGGTATCCTTGGGCGTCACAGCTAGTTTAGTTTTCAGGCGAAAATCTTGAATCATATGGCAGTCGAAATGGCCTGCCAATGCTCCTTTGCTGTATGGGCTGTGATGACATCCATTCCTTGTTGAAGAATGCCACCTAGCCATTTTTACGAAGTTCAATTTGGTTGATAGACCAACTCTTCCAAGATGTAGGCTTTTGCAAGGGCCAACATGTCTAAGATATTCCTGCGGGGCGGCCCAACGTCCATAGATCCAGCAGCTGACCATCCACAGCCCCCGCCTTGTCATGCGAGGTCTGGCAGGCTGGCGGCGCAGATATTGAATGATGATCCGTTGATATTGATGGATTATTAATGTTGGAGAATGTAAATGTCCATTGGTCCATAAATATCAATATTGATACTATGATTTAGATAATATCTACTGGTATATCAATGTTGGATCATGTAATTTTCAGATATATCCAGAAATGTCCATCCCAACTGGATATATCAGCTTCCCCATCTTCCGGCTTGATCATTGCCGGAGGCAACCGCGCGGCTGGAAAAAAAAAGGTTCCCAGTTGGAAGATTGTGTTTTTGGTGGGTTCAGGAAATCGATTTCTGATGACTCCGGATGACTTCTGATGATTTCGGATGACTTCGGATGACTTCGGATGACTTCTGATGATTTCTGATGATTTCTGATGATTTCTGCATCAAACGCTTGCAAGGATGCAAATTTCTGGTTTCAACTCGCCTGCCAAAGCATCAGTCAAAGGGCCCATGGCTTCAGAAAGTTTCTCAGACACCTGCGGGCAAGTAGTCATGGCTAGTCAAAATGATTTTCTCATTTGTGAGCAGCCAATTGTTGATCAGACTGGGCTCAAAGACTAGTTCGGTGACTATCTGTAGTAAACCACAGGCACGGCCTTGCCACCTTTATCTACAGTAAACAGGTTCTAATATCAACATCAGTTTTCAAGGGGGTCCAACGTATGGTTCTGATGTTCACCTCTTGCTCCCCAGTGCCAAAGAACTGAAACAGTTTGTACATGTTTAAACAATCAAAGATTTAGCCAGGTGTCAGAAATGTTCTAATATGCATCTCCAAAATTCAGTATAAAACCAAAAAATCGCCAAATTTAGGGAGCCAACCTGTCCCATTGATTAGACAAGATCAAATTCATTCGCCAACCTGAAATAGAGCCATTCTGGGTTTGCTCCCCACAGTGACGTGTTGAGGTCGATATAGAGGTCGATATAAATTATCCATATTTCTCCACTATATAATGCCATCATTCTGTGGTGGTTCAACCCCAATTTTCGATGTTTCAGCCTCCATGTTTATCGGAGCCTTTCATTTGGGGATCACATTTTCGGTGCATTAATAACTTGATAGAATCCGTAATTCTATGAAATAAGTCACCAAGTTTTGCGAATTGGTGGTTTCCATAAATGGATCCCCCAATAGCTGGAACGTTTAATTATAATGGAAAATCCCAAGAAATGGACTTAGGGAACCTAATTGGTGGCACTCCTACTGGTGGAAAATCCCATTTATAATTGGATATAATTGGTGGTTTCCATAATGGGGTACCCCTATCCTATGACTTAGGAAACCTCCCATGGGTCCACATCACCGTTGTTCCCCGCCATGGCCCATGGCCCGCCTCCTCATCCTCGCAGACCTCTCCTTGCGCCACCCCCACGTCCAACGCGACTTCGCGGATCCTCGTCAGGGCACCTGGAGGCAGGGCTCCGAAGCAAGGGGATGGGGCGCCCAAAGTGGCTAAGTTGACTTATAACTTGGCTATGTAACTTTATCTATTTCTCTATCTATCTATCTATCTATTTATCTATCTATTTATTTACCTAATCTAATCTAATCTATCTATCTAATATATCTTTCTAATCTATCTAATCTATCTAATCTATCTAATATATCTATAATCTATCTATCTAATCTATCTAATCTATCTTATCTATCTTATCTATCTAATCTATCTAATCTATCTTTCTAATCTATCAAATATATCTAATCTATCATTCTAATCTATCTAATCTATCTATCGATCATATCTAACCCATCCAATCTACCTAATCTATCTATCTAATATATCTAATCTATCCAATCTATCCATCTATGAATAAATCCATCTATCCATCTATCTAATCTACCTAATCTATCCAATCTATCTAATCTATCTAATCTATCTACAGTAATCTACAGTAATCTACAGTAATCTACAATAATATACAGTAATCTATCTAATCTATCTAATATATATATATATATATATGTGTGTGATACATCTAATCTACCTAATCTATCTATCTAATGTATCTAATCTATATTTCAAATCTATCGTTCTGATCTATCTAATCTATCTATTTTATCTATCTAATCTATCTATCTATCTATCTATTTATCTATCTATTCTAATCTAATCTAATCGAATCGAATCGAAACTCATCTTATCTAATCTATATGTCTATCTATCTATATATATCTAATCTACAGTGATCTAATCTAATCTAATCTGAGCTAATCTATCTATCTGTCTATCTATTTATCTATCTATCTATCTATACGTATATCTAATCTATCTATACGTATATCTAATCTATCTATACGTATATCTATAGTTCATAAGGTGTACAAATCAACTTATAACTAGGGTGCCCTTCTTGCTACATTTAGAAAGACATAATTACATGTAACCTCTGCAAGCATATCAAACATTTGACATATTTATCATACATGTGAGTCTGTAATATACACATGGCAAGTTTGTAGACCATTGTGCATATATGTCCCATAGATTTCCCAACCGGTGGAGTATAAACGGAGTATATAACTAATGGGAAAATCAAAAATCATAAATCAGCTGCAAATCCAGCTAGGCATCAAAGACCAAATGTTGGCAAACAAATAATTGGGTTTCACAAAGCACATGTATATACACATATAATTATAAGTGGAACAAGGTACTAACGAACATATTTTTATTTGCATGGGTAAACCCAAATAAAAACAACAACACGAACACACACACTAGACAAGAATGGATCATTATATGATCCGGCAGGAACTGAATCCTGAAACATGCAGATTAGATACGAAACAACGAAATTAACGAAGCATCCTACGAATAATAGAAGTTCTCCTGAATGGTTTCCATGTCCAAATTCGTCATCAAAAATGGACGACGTGGAGGTTCTTGGGTTGAGCCTCTTCCCATTCCAGTAAATGATTGAGCAGGTACGTGGATTGAGCGTCCCCACTCCATATCACTGTGCAACAGATGCGTCTTCGTTGGATGGAGACATCTGAAGCACACTCCATCCCCCTGCCATATATAATATAATATAATATAATATAATATGATATAATATAATATAATATATTATAATATAATATAATATAATATAAGGACGAAGTTTTACGTCTATTCAGACGATACACACACACACACCCTGCCTCCGGCAGGGTGGCGCGCGTAAAAATGAGATGAAAGTGAGGATGAACGGGGAATGAAAATGAGATGAGAGTGACAATGAGATGAACGTTACTTAACCAGGACGCGAAGAGGGGAACGCAAAAGAAGAGGGAAGGAGCAAACACACACCAACACACCTAGCCCGGAGCGGGCGAACCCTGAAAAGGCAAGGGAAAAGAAAAAAGCGGAGGGTCGACGGACACGGACCAAGACCAGCGGAGGGGGGGGAAGACGGAAGCGCCTGAACCAACCTGCCCAGGCGGAAACCTACCAAAACCTCAGCACGCGACGGAACCAACCTACCTGGGGAGGGAGGAGAGCATGAGATAGGGGACCAATGGGGAACTAGTTCGTGAAAACAAAAACAAAAACAACAACAGGATTCAGTCCCTGAACCTAGAAGTCGTGCGTTAAGCCACTCCAGGCACGCGGTCAGGTCTTGCCCCAATTGGCATAAAACGGCTTTCAAGTTCCATCGAATTAGATGCACAATATGTTTCACCTCACCAAATACCAAAGAGACCACACCTGCAGGAAGAGGACATGCCTGTTGCCTGTTGTCTTGCATGTCATGTCTCATCACAAACGCTGAAGCTGCAGTGAAAACGGAGGTTTCTGAATGTTCGGCACAGCTGCACACGAAAGAACAGATCACTGGGGTCCCTGGGACAACAGGAACAGCGGGTCATCGTAAAATGGTGCAGAACAGTAAGGCCAACTGTTGCGATTTACTTAGATGAATTACTAAATTAAAATGTGTTAATTCGGCAGTCAGGACAGTCATCACTCACCCTAAAGAGGGTTGCCTCAAATGGCTCCATGGCACCATGTCGGAGCCACCATGGAAATCACACTAGACAAGAATGGATCATTATATGATCCGGCAGGAACTGAATCCTGAAACATGCAGATTAGATACGAAACAACGAAATTAACGAAGCATCCTACGAATAATAGAAGTTCTCCTGAATGGTTTCCATGTCCAAATTCGTCATCAAAAATGGACGACGTGGAGGTTCTTGGGTTGAGCCTCTTCCCATTCCAGTAAATGATTGAGCAGGTACGTGGATTGAGCGTCCCCAATCCATATCACTGTGCAACAGATGCGTCTTCGTTGGATGGAGACATCTGAAGCACACTCCATCCCCCTGCCATATATAATATAATATAAGGACGAAGTTTTACGTCTATTCAGACGATACACACACACACACTCAGCATCACCATTTCCATGGCTGGGGGCCTAAGCTCTCCAAACTTTTTTGCTTACCCTCCAGTAACACTTTGTGAACTGGAAAATTACCGTGATTATATGGTAAAAATCAACGAACTAAATGGGCCATGGCTTGTACCATCCTGTAAACTAACATAGATGTGGATTAATAGGTAATTCATCACATCTATGTTAATTTACTTATCCTAAGGCATATATAGATTGCCAGTGGGTCACACGGCCCACATCAACACAACCCATGGTTTCGACGCCTTTGAGGTCGAAACCCTTTTGTCCCTTCTGTGCTTGTGCCTGGAAGTGATGCATTGAGCCCGGTCCGGATATCTTATGCATACGATGATGGATAGCTTAATCATGATGAAACACATATTCAGATATGGAAACTATCCATGAAGATTTGGACTTGTCATCATAGATAGGACATCAAGATATGGAACTACTCTTGCTGATGAACACATATTCATCAAAATGGATCAAATATATTCGAAATGGGTATAATTTGACATATTCCGCCGTGAACATTTTGAACATAGCCAGGAATGACCCAGCAAACCACGCCTTACCCCGATCTAGGTAAGCAGCAACTGTGTGGTTCTTTGAGCTACAAAAAGGAAGGTCAAACAAACAGCCATGTATACTTGCACACATTGCATCCTCCAGCGGATCGGAACTCACCACTCACAACGGAAGGTCACAAATGCTCCAAACGTTTGAATTGCTGTCTTCAATCCATTCAAACTCAGTGCGTACAGATTTATATAAACTTACTCGTTCACCTATGCATGTGTATAATTTATAATACATATATACATATATATATATATATATACATATATATATATATACATAAACAAATGTATGACATGCAAATTTTTTAAATATCTTTACATGTATTTACACATATCAATGTGCTCCGGAAATGCTTATTAGTGTAATTAAATTGTATATGTAAATGCGTTGTAGATGATTATGGCCTTCATTTCAGCAGAAGAACGGGCATGGGTCATTGGACACCCCGCCTCCTTCACCAGGCCCAGCAGTGCGTCAACCATCAACTGGGGTTTGTCCTCAGCATACCCTCTGGTAATGACTAACAGGTTGCTATACATTGAAAATTGACATTTATAGTTGATGATACATGTTGATATACCTATTAAGAACAGTGAATTTCCATAGCAAACTGCTAGTTTACCAAAGGGTATCTTTACAGGCTGTTCTCCAACTGGCAATTCTCCACAGCAAACAAGATCTTAAACAAATCTAAGGTGTCCAATCGTTCAAGAGCTAAAATTGCAGGCATCCAATTTTTCACAGCAAAACATGAATAGGTGTTTCAATGTGACTCACGGTTCAAAATTAAAAAAAGGGTATGGTATGGCGGCATGGCTGGCATGGCGGGGTTCAAAACGAATTGAAACCATTGGAATTGAGCTCAAATGACTGGTTTCACGGTTTCAACCCCATGACTCGATGTCTAAAAATGACTGGTTTGCTGATTTTTCACTTTGAAATATCCCAGTTCCATGGGTGCTGTAGTCAACCAAACAACCAATCGAACACCATTTGCCATATGTTTATTGATACCGTTTGAGGAACACCATGAATTCCCCAAAAGGGGTCATGGATGGGCAATAATATGCTACAAAGGGCTATAATGCCCTTACTACACCATGGAAAAATTACAGGTCTCATGGCCCCACCCTACTTGGACCATCCCACTTAGCTGGTCATGAATCCCGACAACTACACTGTGTAAGTGGAGTTGCCCTATTCTAATTCTTATATACAGTACATATCACATCTAAATGTAAAGTGGTTATCCTCATATCCTCCCCATATTCTCCATGTATAGAATATTTACATGCCTTTAGTGGTAAATTTTGCAAATGCTATTAACCATTGCATCACCATAGAGCACCTGGGCTAGTGACGGACAGGTTGGAAACTGGGGACGTCGATATTCGGAGGATACAAAACTAATTAATCCGTAATTCTCCTAATCCTGGTTCTTACGCTAATCTGTTGCAATGCGTAATCCGGTGCTTTATGTATACTGGCATTGAGTTACTGCAACAATTTCGGAACGCGTCCCCAAGTGGCACTATTTCTTTTTCACCGCTGCTCTCTGCAGGATGTGAAGAGAGTATAGAGATGTGTAGAGACTAGTAGAGTGAAGGGAGTAGAGTGTAGAGATATGAAGAGAGTAGAGAAGCGAAGAGAACGGAATTGTTGCGTCAAGGTGGTGTTTGGACCATACCCTGTAGCTGTCGGGACCCGAACCACTCCGAATGCACTCCGGAGGCTAGCTGCTACTGCCCTGTTGGTTCTACATCTCTGCGTTGGAGGGAGGAGCACTAAGGCTCTAAGACTCTAAGGAGTACAAAACCAGTGCTTTCGGGCCTCGAAGCACTCCGAAGGCACTCCGAGGTGCTACTGTAACCTGCTGCTTCTGCGTCTCTGCGTTTGGGGGAGGAGCACTCAGGAGTACACAAGGAATGCTTTCGGGCCCGGAAGCACTCCGAACGCACTCCGAGGTGCTACTGTAACCTGCCGCTTCTACGTCCCTGCGATGGAGGGAGGAGCACTCAGGAGTACAAAGGGTGCCCCGAACCACTCCGAATGCACTCCGTTACTGAAACCTGCTGCTTCTACGTCCCTGCGTTGGGGGGAGGAGCACTCAGGTGTATATACAAAGGGATGTAAAGCAGTGCAAAGGTTGAAGGCGGCGTAGAGTAGTGCAAATAGCCTAGAGCAATGCAAAGTAAGTAGTGTAGAGCAATGCAAGGTAACGTAAAGTAGTGTTGGGTGGTGATGAGTAGTAGCATGGAAGTGGAAAAAATAAGACATATATACATATGGACTATACTGAATGTTAAAAAGGTGTTACAGTTCTTGCACAGACGTTTTGTGCAGCGTAGTGAAGAGTAGCGCATAGTATTGTAAACTAGTGTAGAGCAGTGCAGGATCGTGTAGAGTAGTGCAAAAATGGTGTCATGCAAGAGTAGTTCAAAGCAGTAGTGTAGAGTACGTACTACGGAGCGCCTCTTAAACAAGCGTAACTAGCACAGGAACTGTTACATGAAAACCACTCACGACCAGCAATCCGCAAAACGACAATCCGCAATCCGGCGCAAGGATCAAGGATTAGATTTGAAGTGGCCAGGGAAATAGTGCTATTTTGGGATACTTACCCTTGCTACGCCAATCACAATGCATTCAGATAACACACGGTAAATACATGTTCACTCTCTTGGTAGTGGATTGGCTTAATTTTCATTGATCAACCCCAACCAAAACCTAAGGAAAAACAGTTTTTAGTGATTATTAACCATCACGATGTCATGAACCCCCCGAGTTTTCGAGTCCGTTTCAGTCCGAAGGGGTTTCGACCGCTCCTCCTCCGAGTCCTCCGCGAAGTAGGCTTTCAGCAGCTCACGCCGCGGCTCGGCATCCTGGTAGTGTACTGGGTTATAGCTGCTTCAATAATAATTTGGGTATGGTTAATGATGGTTAATGGTGCCTAATTGGTGGTTAATGATGGTTAATAGTGGTTAATAGTGGTTATATAATAGTGGCTAATAATTGGAATAATGTGGGTATAACAATGCCATAAACCACGCGTTTGGGAATGGTACACATACCACCTATCAAAATGGTGATTTGGGGGATGGTCTATTATTTTTTACAGCCACATTATTCATATTGTACTGTTATTGTCATTGAGTACTTAAGGCTCATGATAAGCAATCTATCTTCATAATCATGGGTATCACTTATGATGATAATCATGAGGATGGTTATGAAAATAATAATTGAAAATAATAGTGAATTATAGTTCATGGAAAGTATCTGTTTGTATCTATAATTATATTAGTGAATGATAAAATACCTGTAGTTTAATCTATAATTAATGATAACCTCATGAGTTATAGTTCTTGATATTTTTAATAAATATACTAGCAAATAGTCACATATCTATTTTGAATAAATTATCACATAGTGAAATTATCGTGAACATATAGTGAATATTAGTGAAACTATAGCGAATAATAATGAACATAGTGGTATGCTGGATTTGTTCAATAAATTACAGCGTAATAGCAAGTAATAGTGAACGATACTACTAATAATAAAAAAAACATTAGACACATTTCATATATATATATATTACAAAACATGTATATAATAATATAATATGTAAAATGTAATATATTACTATATATATATATATCTATATATATGTATGTATATGTATATGTATCAATTCATATCATATATTTCCATAACTCAGCAAAAACAAATACACAAACCTGAAAACAATGAAACTTGCGGCCATTGGGGATGATTCTTCAAATCCGATAGCCATCATTCCAGTGATGTCACGACGTGAGGTCATTATTTATCATTCATCCAGAACTACAACGGAGATGTTATGAGATAGTATCTAAGTTAATTAACCAAATATTTCATGACATTATCTAGATATCTATGTTTTTATCATAGAAATGTCATGGGGATATAAACCAACTTGATCTGAGTTTGCTGTCGGAAATTATCGATTTAGATTGTGACTACCTGGATCTACCTGGTGGGATGCCCCCAATAAACCGGTGTTTTGCGTTGACAGTGACTGCTTCAAACCGTGTTTTTTTCTTTATGAGCCATAGTTGAGCACACATTACGAAACCAAACATGATAGGTTAATGTCAAGTGAGGATTAATAATACCCCCAGGATTAATCAACCACCACTGCCCCAAAAATAAAATGTAATTTAAAAACAGGTGGTCCGCCCAGATTAATAAACCGGTGGGCCTACCCCCGATTAATCAACCACCACTTCGGAAATCATTTTTTTATCCAACATTTTTTATTTCCAATTCTATTTATTTCCAATTGTTTTTTACCTTTTTTTTAATCATCATTGTTATACTTCAGGTTTAAGTTGATCATTGAAAATTTCAAAAAACAACTATTCCCCAAATGATCGATTTCTTATTAAAATACTTATAAAAAACATCAGTTTGGATAGCTCCCAAAGGGTACCCCCCATGAGCCCATGTCCCCCAGTAATAATAACCATGGTTTGCCCCTGATTAATCAACCACCTTTCTGATCCATGAAATTTTAACAAATCCAATGGAATTCTATTAAGATCTAATTGACGTAAGCCATATCCAAAGTTTTATGGTTCAGAATTTTATGGTTCAGGGCCGTTTATTTACGGGTAGTTAAGAAAACTAGCTAGAAGGTACCTACCTACCTACCTGGTGGGGGGGGGTTTATTAATCCGGTGTTGGCATTAATACATTTGGCATTTTTTGATAGATGGGCGTATCTATTTCCAATTGTACTACATTTGATGAGGCATTACAGTAAACCCAACAATACACCATTCCCAATTTTGGATTATGAGGGAAATATGATGAAATACGTGGAAATACCACATGTTGCGGTGATTTCCAATGACACACCTTAAATGGATCCAAATGGTTCATAACTGTTGGTAGTTTAATGTAGTTTCTATATTATATGGTTTATTCTTGGCCCAATGGATCCAAACACCTCAGAAGGTACTTAACCTCCCAAATCTTCCCAAATCATATCAGATCATACACCAATCATTACCAAACACTGAGAAGGTACTTGGAATCATAGGTTTATCGGTTTATCTCATGAAAAATCTCCCGCCCCGCCCTGCGTGGCCAGTCCTCGGTACTGAGACACCTACTCAGCACCCGGTTGACCATTGGAACCTGGCGGCGAAGTGATGCAATCGATACAGATTTGGTGAGTTACAACCCCTTTGATAGCATGGTATGATGAGTACTAATCTTAAATCTCCTGGCAATGATAATATATGAGTTATGATTCGATATGATGATATTGATTAATATTGATATGTTTAGATATCGGACAAACAGGATAGATAAAATGATAAAACTGATATAAATAGTAAACAGGAGATTCCACTGCTCATCGATCATCTCACTGGCCTTCGATTCCAACTCCTCATTGATTGTGGTATAGAGGAAGGTCAGTGCTCGGTCCTGGAGAGTGGTTCTCTTCGGGACTCCCCAGGAGCTGTTGGGTTTTTGATGTCATGATATCTCCATCGGTAGCATCAAGCTGTAAAGAACACCTCATCGCTGGCCGTTTTCCAGCATGGAATAGGGCCGAGTCCCAGAACAAATTACATTTACGAGTATACAAAATAGAGGACCTATGGACACTTGGGCTCTTGCCCCCATTTTGCTATTCTAAAAGTATCTACCCTCTGGTAAATTGAATGTAGCAATCAACAATCTTCCTCATTTTCGAGTTAGCTCAAAACATGTAGCTGGCTCAATTTCAGAAGGGGTCATGTGTTTGACTTTAATGTTGTGCCGCTGTCTAAGCAGATTTGGCCCAAAACGTGGCTCCTAAATTTCTGGGCTGCAACAGGGGTACCATCTCTATTAAACGAATCATGTGGGACTGAACCTGGCAAATGAACACATTGGGAAAAATTTGCGGGCTCGCTCAAGTGGAACGAGCTACCTCAGCAACAACGCGCTAGCTCAAACACATCGCTCTAGCTCGATGGCATCGAGCTGGCTCAATTTTTTTGACAAAAAAACGAAAAAACAAACTCAAAAAAATTGAGCCAGCTACGTCACGTCGAGCTGGCGAGCAAATGTGAAAGCTAAAAAACGAATACATAATATGTATTGGCCGGGATGATGACGGCATACCGAGCTGGCTCAAGGGCATGTAGCTGGCTCATTTTTTTCGCGTTTTTTTTTTTTCGTTCAAACAAATTGAGCCAGCTACGAGGCGCTCGAGGCATTGAACCAGCTACGTGGCACTGAGCCAGCAACGAGGGAATGGTGAATCTGTACTGTACGGGACAGATGGATTTTCCGATGCAGCCTTTGCAGTTCCAACAAATCAAATTATTGATTATTTCTGGCACCATATGAGATAAAAATAGAAGACTGGCAGTCTATACATATGTACATATATAACCGATAACCCCAACCGTATAATTATGTTCAATCTGAAGCAACACCAGTTTTCTTGAGGGAGACGCGTACCCTTGAGCTGGAGATTGGGAAAAGTAACTTTCGAGTAAACAAACATAACTATGGAAAATCACAATTTTTGATGGGTAAATCACCTATAAATATGGCCATGTTCAATAACTATGTTAAATTACCAAAGTATCTATGTTGAAAATTTCAAAGATATCAACGGTAAGTTGGCTTCTCCCACCCACCGCCCGTCCAGCTGCTCGTTTTCAGCTTTCCGTGCTCGTGCGATGTTCATCTGTAGGACCTCAAAAGAGCTGGACAGTCATGGTAGGAAAACACCTCCTAAATAATTGTCCCATGGAAGTGTAAATCCCCTACTAAACCATGGTTTCTGCGGGTGTGTTTAATATTAACTAATTAAGGGAAAACATCAGAACTCACCTACTTCATCGGTCCATCAGAATAGCTCCTCAAACTCAAGCGGGATGTACGCCCTTGAAATGAAAGGCGGAAATAATTAGGATGAAATAAGCAGATCCTAGATTCGCTAAATCTACGTTGGACATTTCAAACTGATAAAACATGAACAATCATTGCTCAACCCCAGTTTTGAAGGTCTCGTGTGACCAGTACAATCCTGAGGAGTGTACTGACCCCCAGCCCTGCTAAGCCACCAGAAATGGTCACTGTACCGAGTCCAGGGCAGCAATTATGGGAAGCACACTTTCCTGCCAACATGGTGCGACATTGCATGGGCCCCACTCGGGTGGCCAAACACATCTACAGAGTGGAGCCCCGCGTCGTTACTATAGCTAAGTTGGTTTGCAACTCCAATAGCTGTTGGATTCATTGTAGGTAAACATTGAATTTCTTACTTTTCCAGCTGCACGCAACCCAACTGCCTAGCACCACCGTTGGAGGTCATGCCTAAATTCTTGAAAGTTTCCACAAAGAATGCCCGCATACCACCAAAGCATGACCCACTCTTTCAACTCCAACAGAAAACCCACCACTTCACTCCTGTTTTTGCAAGCATTCCTGGATGTTCTCCTTGATATTGCCCGAACTCTGCATCAATGCCTCACTCCAAGGGTGTTAGAAATATGACCTGCTTGGATCTGCTTGGCACATTGCTACTGAAGGTGGTTGACCAACATTGATATATGGCTACTTTATTTTTCCCCAAACAGTGTGTGAACACCGAGGGGTTCTCACGGTAGGTGTAAAGGCCGGTGCTTGATCAGGGTGCTCACTCTGGTCTGCGGGATTTTATCTGTAAATTTCCGAACAAAGTGGCTCTTGTGAAATCTTGACGTGCGTTTCGACTGCGCAGGCTCGCACAAAGTCTGCGGCGCGGTTTTGGTCTGCGGCGTTTTACCTGTAAATTTCCGTAAAAAGTGGCTCTTGTGACATGTGGACCTGCATTTCGATTGCGCAGGCTCGCACAAAGTGTGGTCCTAGGTTCTGGGCCGATGATGACCATCCATCTCCTCATCATCCTCATCCTCATCATCATCATCATCATTATCATCATCATCATCATCAAAGTAATCATCATCATCATCATCATCATCATCATCATCATCATCATCATTGTAATCATCATCATCATCTTCTTCATCATCATCATCATCAACAACATCCTCCTCCTCCTCATCATCATCATCATCATGGCCATCCTCACCGTCATCGTCATTCTCATCCTCATCCTCCTCAACATCATCACCCTCACCATCAACATCATTGACATCATCATCCTCAACATCATCCTCAACATCATCCTCAAACACCTCATCATCCTCAACACCATACTCCTCAACATCATCGTCTTCACCATCAACACCCTCAACATCATCAACCTAAACATCCTCATCAGCATCAGCATCATCATCATCATCATCAACATCATTTTCGTCATAATCATCATCTTCCTCACCATGAGCATCAACATCAACATCATCATCATCGTCGTCGTCGTCGTCATCATCGTCATCATCCTCGCCATCAACATTATCAACATAATCATCCTCGACCTTATCAGCCACAACATCATCCTCCTGCACCTCATCCTCAACATTCTCATCAGCAGCATCATCATCGTCATCATCGTCATCATCAGCACCATCACCATTGTCGTTGTCGTCGTCGTCGTCGTCGTCATCATCATCATCATCATCACCATCACCATCACCATCACCATCACCATGACCATCACCATCATCATCATCATCATCATCATCATCATCATCATCATCTTCATATTCATCCTCATCATGATTATTATCATCATCATCATCCTCATCATCATCATAATATTCCTCCTCATCATCATCATCACCACCATCAACAACATTATAATACATTATTCTCCTACTCCCCCCACGCTGTTTGGGGTCTCTTGCCGGGATATTAAAAAATGCATAACAATGCATAGCAATGCAATGATAGGCAGGATTCGCCCCTGTAAGATTCTGGAAGATGATAAGCATCGTCATTCAAGCAGTCTGCAGAACCCACCATTCAATCGATTTCACCTTCCACGTTGCTGTGTCCATGGAAGGGCTATCTATCTGGAAGCTTGGCAGCGAAAAATTGTGGGTCCATCTTGGTTTGTCTGAAAATGATGTGGGGAAATTCTCAAATTTGATGAACGATCACATGATACTCATGTGATAACCATAACAACCATCATATGATCCCAATTCCACATGAACATTGGCCTTTCATTTTGGTTTCTGGGCCACCTCCCAGTGCCTCAATATCTTTGGTCACCGCGGCCATACGGGACCTGGGCTAGGAGCGGCCCGGCTGGGCTCACTGGGATGTACCACCCATCCATGGTGATTTTATGATTCCATGGTGATGACTTGGGGATACTCCCAAGTCTTGAAACTCATGGGGATGTGTGGGGATGTGTGGGCCAGCATGAATTTGAAGCTATATACCGTTATATACCTGCATAATCCTGCATCTACCTGCCATACCCAGGCATTTTCCAGACATATGCTAAACATGTCGCCTGACTGGAGGCTAATTTCCAGTGTTGGACTCTCCAATTTAAGTTGGCACTGGACCCAATCTGGTGCATGAAATATAATTTCTGATGCAACCAACCCTGTATGAATTTGAGCAATGGCAATGGAATATTAACCTATATGTCATATATCTTCAAAACGTAACTTAGCTGCTTAGCTATCAACAAACCTGGCAATGGGACAAACATCCACAGTTGAAGTGTGACTGTAGTCGGACAGTCACAAAGAAATCGATGATTTGAATTCTTTGATTTGGCAAAGGGTTTTCCATCGTTCTTCCTGAGATCACCGGAGGATACCCATAAGTCTCACGTAAAGTGCCGGCAGAACTGGGTGCCACCGCTCCATCGCCTTCTGGATGCTGCCCAGGAGTCTTTGGATAGGCTTCCTGCTATGGAAAAATTGCTGCCAAGCCGATTCGTGGGAAGACCACGGAAGCATCTACCCTTGATACATTGACATTCCCAAAATGCTAATTGCTGTGCTTCCATCGAAAATGAGGAACCATAGGACCATGGGAACTTTTTCCTTTATTAGAGGGTCTAGCTGAGCTACCCTTTACACGTACATTCGTGCTAGAACAACTGTACTCGATTGCAATATTGGCTTACTGTATAAGTCGGAATGTTCCAAGTTATGAAAACAAATAGTCCATATATCTGGGTAAATATGGTAAATTAAACTATTTCCCTAACCTGAAATAAGAGCAAATAAGGCCATTTGAGGATGATTCCCCTTAGTAACCATGATTCCACTCAGGTCACGACGTGAGGTCGTTATACTGTACCAACACACACACACATATGTATATATATATAGCAACCCCCCATCTCATCCCTTTTATATTTTTTATAAATTACCTTTTTTCTGCATCTGTGGTGATGATTTGGGTCCCCCGAGCTTCCCAAAGCGTCCTGGCATCTCCTTCCGTCTGCGCCAGCTGAAGTTGTAGGGCTGCCATGTCCTCAAGAGTGATGTTTTTTCCCCCTCTCGGGGGGGAGTGAAACGGTGAGGATTTCATGCAGCTCATTTAAACCCATGAAAAGTTGTGACTGAACATGATTGAACCGTCAAAATCATCAAAAATTGAAACATGACCATCAAAAACTGGTGAAGTAACCAGCTAAATTGATCGAACATGAGGTTTAAGCATCAAAAAATAATTAATGATTTGGAGTTAATGGAAATAGGTTACCACCATCCCCCCCTTCCGACCACAATAGCCTAACCGTCCGACCCTCAATAGCCTAGCCTGCCCACCACCCACTCCCCCTCTGCGCCATCATCCCCCAAAATAACATGACGACCCTGCCATTCACAGGGGGTTGGAAGACTCCTTTTCAAAAATAGCGACTCTCAGGGTCAAACTGTTAGTTGGGGGGTGGTGAGTTTTAATAAAATGATGGCTTCTTTGACCAAACAGCCCTCCAAAAAAAACACTTCACATGATTACAACACCGCCAAATATGAGAATCGAACACTGAGAATATGTTCAATCGAAACGGGAGACACCAAAAAAATAACATGCTCTCACAAACATCACAAACCTGAAACCGAAGGCTGGAATCAAAAACCGTTTCAATCTCCATACTTTTCACGGATCGAAATTACAAGTTGTTGCCAACTGCCCAGCAGTTCCCTGCTGCAACTCCTGTGGCGAGATACTCTTGAAATTGGCATCCACCTGCGGAAACCATTTTCAGCAGTAACATGTTTCCAAGCTGAACTCCAAGATTGGTAATGTATGGCAAATCCCATCACAAATAAACCCAATACCAAAAAAGGATGGTATAAACCATGCTCTTAAGACTCTTACGGTTTCTGGCATCGGGCAAATCCCACCATTGTTTTGGGTTACCACCATTGGTACATGCGATGATCATCCCATCAACCGGCCCCAGTCACCCCACGAGCCACGGATTTTCTTTCAGCTTCTCCTCACTAAAACCTTCCCAGACCGTCTCGTCGCGCGTAAGCTCACGAAAGGCCATGGTGAAGTAGGATGACGGTGGCAGGACACAGGACCTGAGGCGAGGCCGTTACCAGTGGCGCCTTGGGTCTGAATTGGAGATTTTTCATGGGGCAAATGACACGATGCTGAATGAACCAGTTGAAACAAACAAAAGCACCCCATAGATCCCCATAGTCATTTTCCATCTGATACAAACATTTCAGCAGAATGCAGAATCGATCAGAATCGCTGACCCTGTTTTCAAAATTGATGTTGACTCCCATTGCTTGGTGGGGATTTCTACCAAGCCATGGTTGCCTACACCATCCAATATTTGCTCGACATATCTACCGCCGCACTTTAGGTCGCAAAAAAAAACAACTTTCGCTACCACCATTGCAAGACCTTCTATGTTTTTTTCCTTATATTCTTCCGGTTGAGCCCACATGTTTTTCCGAAAAAAAAAACACTGGCATCATCCTGGCACTGGGCTGCAAGGGCATAATCAGAGCTCCAGAGTCGCACAACTCTTCCATGTACCTGGTGCGTTTTGTTTGGGTTTCTTTGGGCATCAACAAGTCAGAGATAATTCCGACACCTCTCATGAGGCTTTGCAAAGCTAACCATCATTTATGGTATTAGTGTGAGGTCGTTATCATTTGCCTGAGTCAAGATAAATGGAATGATAGGGAAATGATGGAATGCATGTCATTCCAAAGCCAGATAGCTTGTCAAACACAAACACCAGGAAACTAGAAAACGTCATATTAGCTTGTATTGGGGTGTGAACAAGGTCGGCTGTAAACTGAATCAACCATAATCAATCCATTAAGCGAAGATACACCCAGTAGTTGTACTTTGAAAACATAGTAATATGGTGTATGTATGTATGTATGTATGTATGTATGTATGTATGTAATGTAATGTACTGTACTGTAATGCAATGCAATGCAATGCAATGCATGGATGTATGTATTGTCTGCATGCATGCATGCATGCATGTATGTATGTATGGTATGTATGGTATGGTATGGTATTGTATTGTATTCTATTGTATTCTATTGTATTGTATTGTATGTGTATATATATATATATGAAGTACTGACTTCTTCGCCATGTTGAATGTACACTAACAGTTCCAATCTTTGCTGCCTGCGAAACAAGGTGGTCTGTTTTGCACCAATCCAATGGGTTTTACCCTGCAGGTTCCCAAGTCCCAACATCAGATTGGTTATATCCTGTAGCTATTGAAAATAGCTATTGAAAACCACCATTGAAAAAAGCTGGGTAAATCAACTATTTCGAGTGGGCCATTTTCAACAGCTACATCCCCACGATTGGTCATCGCTGCCTGGTGTTGCTGTCAACTGGCACTTCACCACCTTGCCACACTTTGCGACGCTACCCGTGAGATGTCAACGCTGTGGACGGATGTCATTTTCCTATTCAGATCACCTAAAATACACGAACTAAAAGTTAATTTCCACTATCTATAGATATAGTTATAAGTTATAACTAGCTAATATAACTCGCTATACCCTCTGGTAAACTAACATAGCTATTGAAAATGGCCCAGTCGAAATAGTGGATTTACCCAGCTATAAAATAGTGGATCTTTCCATAGCGAACTGTTAGTTTACCAGAGGGTAACCCCCTATAAATCCCCGAAGAAAATGGTGATTTCCTCAACCCGCGTCCTTTGCCTCGCAGCCGGTCCCGGTCCGTCAGCAGCAGCCGCCCCTGGCGTCGCTGCAGTTGCAGCGCCTCGGAGGCATCGAGGCGGCGCCAGGCCACGCCCTGGGGCAACACCTCAGCGGTGGAGCCGTAGAAAACCTGGGGAAAAACCTGGGGAAACCATGGAAAATCCATCAAATTGCTAGGAAATGTTGGGAAAATCCATCAAATTGCTGGGAAAAACCTGGGAAAATCCATAAAATTGCTGAGAAATGCTGGGAATAGGGGAATGAGGTGAGAAAAAGTTACGAAGATTTGTTCGGAAAAACCTGTGTTTTTTTGGGGGGGAATTATCCAGTAATCAAGTGTTGAGGTGAAATCCTAGTTGGATTCTTGACATCTGCAGGGAACATATTGTGCTTGACAATGTAAGTTAAAGAACAGGAACATGTGGACCACTCCAAGGGAAACAATCCGCTAGGAATATATATATATATATATTATATATATATATATATATATCTCTAATATATCTGACAAACATCCCTGCTCATTGCTGGAAAAAGATTCCTGCAGTGGAGGCCTGAACATATGGAGGTTTCCTAAAATGACGGAACCCCAAATCATCCAAGAGTGTACAATTTTTGTTATTGAAACCCATGGTTTTGGGGATCCCCAACTTTAAGAAGCCCTCCTCATGTATACCATAAACATCATAAACCATACCCACAACAAGCTATTCATCGCAGCTTGTGGCGCTCAGCTTTTTCTGACGCGGCATTCCTGTTCTGGCCGCCGTCAAATCTGCGAAGCGCGACGCATCCTGAGGAGGCCAATCATTTAAGAGTTTCACCCCAAATTTGGATTTTTTAAGAAATTTCAAGAACGCCTTGATACGTGTTTGTTTTATTTGTCAAATCTGTAAGTATAGTCATATCATATCTATCTGAATCTATCTATTTATCTCTCTCTCTCTCTCTCATCGTTTTGTCGGTGTCATCGCTGGAAGGATTTTTGTGAATCTAAGCAGGCCCTGCCATCCCCGAAATTTTGTCGCGCGATGGGCGAACTTCGGTGCATCTGCCAGGAAACCCATAGCTTTGTGCAGGTAATGTGGGAAAATCTGGTTTCAAGACGTTTCAAGCTCCTTGGAAACAATGAAAGTGCGTATCATGCGTCTGGCCGGATGTGTCAGCCATCTCAAGCAATTTTGATCCAGACTGCCAGACCTATAGAGAAAAGTCATATGATGGTTTCTCAAAATGGGGGATGGTCGAAATCATCGAACATCAGATGATCTTTGTATGGGCCCCACCCTCTTTTGAGAAACTCCCAATTGAAGTTTTCCTGATTTTATCTTTCAACTCCTGGTTTTGGATGCCCCAGCTACATCGCACTACTCCGCCTCACTCCAAGCTTAGCCACGCAGGGAAAGCTGGATGCGGCATGCGGCAACTGACAATGCCACTTGACTCTCTTGGAGGCTCATGCCCGGCAAGGGAGTACCCCTTGAAAACTGACTTACAACATCTTACAACCAATTGAAAATGGTCCTATTTGGTGGGTCCATGGCTGAATTTCATGTAAATAGTAGTAAAGAACATGGATGTTTGCTTCTGAACAATTGCAGCCAAGAAAAATGGGATAAGTCCAAACGATTCCCGCAAAATACCGGTCAAACTAGAATGATAATCCCATTTTGGGATATTCTTAGGGTTTGAAACTAATCTGTCAATTTGTTTCCAAAGCACATAAAACCAACAGAACATTTTGTGCCTCGGGGCTCCCCATGTTTTTTACAATCCTTCCGTTCCGCATCACGGGTGTCATGAAGCAACAGCCTGGTGAAGTGAACAGCTGATGCTGGTCTTGAGGAGACCATTGGGATTTGTGGTGATTTGGGGGGCTTTGACATTACTGTGGATATATATATATATAAATATATATATATATGCAATAATCATGATAGTAATAATAATAATCACATATATATATATATATAATGTTATATTATATATATAGGTACAACTGATGATGATTGATGGGGATATATATATATATAACAACACATGTTTTACAGTGGTTTTATGGGTGATCACCCACAATCACGGGGCCGCTTTGTGGTTTGACCCTTCACCCATCCCAAAGTCATGGCGGAAAGTTTCTTGGGATTATCCCAGCCTTTAAGCTGAACTTTCGAGGACGTGAAAAAGGTGGTAGATGCCGTCCATATCCTTGGCTCGTCAGCTTGTCTCAGCTCGTCAGGGGACAGTTCATCAAACCCCTGTGGGGTAAAGCCGAACAAAAACACCATATGGTTGTATTCTGTCGGATTATTTGGATTGAGCCATCTCTCTCTCTCTCTCTCTCTTTCTCCCTCCCTCTTAATTTGCAAACGCAAGCAATGGGGTAACAAGTACACACCAAAAACGTTTTTCTTGCTGTTCGTTTGGCAAGCACATGGGCTATATCAATGGTGAAATGATACCTCAGGTGATCAGGTTCTCAAAGGGATGGACCCTTAAGGGACTTGGACTTGGTCCTCGAACTTCTGATTCCGCGTGCCAAGCGAAATAGCCAAAAATGTGAAGGTTCATGACGGACGGAAGAAATTGCGTCACTATACATAGTCTATACATGAATACAGTATGATTTCTGGCCATGCCACGTCAAACCGTCAAAGGAAACCTATAGGAAGGGCAATTTCACTGTTGGATTCGTTTTTCGAATGTGTCTGCTGATGCGACCAGTGAAAGGGTTTTAGATTGGCTGGGCCCACACCAAAAAGCAAAAATACAGTAAAACATATGAAAAACAAATTAACAAGCTTTCAATAGACCTGATACTATGCTGCTGACGGATTTCCGGTATGCGGACGCCTTGCAACACTGAGACACCACCCTAGCCTGATTCTAAGCAAAAATGAGATTCGAGCAGACCAACGTCAGCTTTGCAAACTTCACATCTCACAGCGTGATACTTGGTGGGGTCATCCTGTGGCGCAAGGATTGACATATTGTCTGATGTCTTGGGTGACAAGAAAAACATATCCACTTAAATC